GAGGCTCCCGATGGGGCGGCCCTGCTCCCACGTGGGAGCCAGCTTTGCCCAGGGTGGGTTCGGTGTAGGGTAGTGTAGGGTGACTGTGTGTTGCTGAGCCATCCCATGTTTCGTGTGTGTGGGGGGGGGGGGCTGCAGCCCTCCCTCTCTCTTCCCCTCTCACCCCTCCTTCTCTCCCCTCCCCTCCTAGCAAGGCAGCTCTTGCTGGGCTTTTTTGCTTATAGCTGGCGGGCCAGTGCAGGCGTTTTTAGTTGACTAATTGGGGGTCAAATTCTCGGACTTTGTTTCAAACAAGGTTCCTCAGGGCTCGCCTACCGAATATAGCTAGGATTGCAGGTATGAGCCAGGGACTGATTTTGGTTTGGTTTTGAAAGCCTTTTGGTCCGAGAGGGTCGGAAGGTCGGTGGTGAAGTAGCTCTGCTAGGAAGCAACGCTTGGGGAGTTAGAGCAGGGTTCAGAAAGGAAGCACCGTAGCAAAAGAACGCCCTATCTGGCCCGGTGCTGATTCCAGTATTCGGATTAGCGGAGTTGGGAGCCGCTCTGAATTCGCGGTGCTGGGCACTGGGGAGGCTTCTCTCCTGGGAGGTTCAGGGACTGCTGCCCACATGTGCCCTCTGGTGTCCCTTGTGGCTAGGGCAGGGCACAGGGACAGGAGGAGCCTGATGCAGGTCCTGGCCTCAGCCAGCCTGTCACTTCCTTTGCAGGACTGGATCCCAGAGGAGAGCAGGTGGTGTGGTCTGCAAGTGGGTGGACAGCCCGAATCATCCAGCATGAGATGGACCACTTGCAGGGTTGCCTGTTCATTGACAAAATGGACAGCAGGACCTTTACAAATGTCTGCTGGATGGAGGTGAATGACTGAAGTGTGTGTGGTGAGCCGAGGATCCGGGAAGGTGACGCAGACGTGTCAGCGTGAGCTCTACCCTCTCACGCGGCTTCACCTCGGAGTTGGCTCCAATCTGACAGCAAACAGAGGACTGCACATAGGTGCGGAGAGGAATTGGAGGGAATTGGTAGCAAGGTTTGCCTGGAAATCAGCTTTGGATGAAATAATACTAACTTAAGAAATGAACAACCCCTTGAAGGAGTGGACTCTGTCATATGGAGAGAAGTTAATAGTAATTCTTAGTAGAAACAATTTCGTAAGACTTATATCATCTACCCAAAGCCAAGATGTGATAATAATGTAGACCCCAACTACCTGAAAGCTGTGTCTAGAAAGGCAGGTAAGGCTACTGGACCACTTCCCTGAGTTCTTTTCACAGAGGGCTGTGTGTGACCCACAGGATCCTGGGTTTGCTTGATGTCAGTTGTGGAAATAAAACATGGAACAGTGGTCCCAGTTCAAGGATGTGGTTAGTAACTGTACGAATGTAAATACCCACACACTTGGACAGCTTCACATACAGTGTGACGGGAAGATGGAGGGAGATTTTGTGCTGGGCATCTCGGCTCATGCTTTGGGTGGAGGCCATGGAGGGAGCTGAGGACAGAGTGGTGACTGCCAGGAGGCAGAGCCCCTTTCTCCCTCCATTAGGATAGAAATAGCAGAACTGGTGCTTGCTGGTCATAGCACTTGTTTTGAAGAGAAATCATGATGCTCACCAGTGCTTGTCTCTAAGAAGCTAGCAGAGGTGAGGGAACCATAGAATATTTATTTATTTATTTATTTTTTGTCGGTCGTGGGGCTTGAACTCTGGGCCTGGGTGCTGTCCCTCAGCTCTCCAGCTCAAGGCGAGCGCTCTACCACTTGAGCTACAGCGCCACTTCCGGTTTTCTGGTGGTTTATTGGAGATAGGAGTCTCACGGTCTTTCCTGTCCGGGCTGGCTTTGAACCGCAATCCTCAGATCTCAGCCTCCTGAGTAGCTAGGATTACAGGCGTGAGCCACCAGCGCCCGGCCCTTTTTATTTTTGCCAGTCCTGGGGCTTAAACTCAGGGCCTGGGCGCTGTGTCTGAGCTTCTTTCCCCAGCACTCTACCGCTTGAGCCACAGCGCCACTTCAGCTTTTTCTGTTTATGTGGTACTGAGGAATAAAACCCAGGGCTTCATGCATGCTAGGGAAGTACTCTACTACTAGTGTACATTCCCAGCCCCGGAAGCAAGTATCCTTGTAAGGCAAAATCCTCTCAAAAGTGCTCAAGTGGCAGAAAGCCCAGTAAATTGTTTTGTGAATGTGTTTGTTTTTTTAAGAGGGTCTTGCCTAACCCGGGCTGGCCTTGAATTCAAGGTTCTGCCTCAGCTGGGTGTTAGAATTACAGATGTAGGTCCCCACCAAGGCTGGTCAGGAATATGTGGTTTAAACACCAGGCAAACCCCCTTTTCCTCATGGCTTTCTCTGGGAGATTCATGCTGAACAGGTTGTAGGTAGTCAGATGTGGACTCATGACCGAGCTCTGCTCTGAGGTCAGAGACAACCATTAGGGAATTTTCTCGAAAGCACTGAAAAACTGGTCTTTCTGGAAGAGCAGCTTCTTCAGTCTTAAGGTCATCCTTTCCAATGTTGCTCGGTAGCAACAAATCCTTATATTTCCAACTAAGAAAATCTCTCCCACTCAAGGTAGGTGCTAGACGGAAGCCACATGCACAAATCAGTACCTTCAACTAATGGAGTTTTGGAAACAGGATAGGCAGACTTGAGACCAAAATCTCCTGTAGAGAAGTGACCTTGAGAAAATAGTTTTGAGAAGAAATTCCTGTGCTCTTATCAGGACTAGTTGCTGCTGTGGCCCTGCGCTGCTTGAGGCTGCTGCTTTAATCCCAGGCGAGTTGAGCATGAGTGGTGCTAACCACTGATCGTGGAAACATGGAAAGCCAGGTTTCTGTAAACATATCTAAAACCGTGCAGTTGAGCAATAATGGCTCTAAAGCCAGTTTCCTCCTGCAGCTGATCAACGTTTGAAGCAGTAGAACTGAGGAAGCAGATGAAAACAGGAGCGAAGACCCTCCTGCTTCAAGGTCACCAAGTAAAATGTAGAGGACGCCCGACTCGCTGAGTGGAAGCTCTGTAAATGCCATGTTCTGGGGTTTAGTCAGAATTTAGAAATTTGTGCTGGGGATGTGTAACTAAGCAAGAGTTGTCCCAGTCACAGTGCTGTGGAAGAGTCCTGGAGGTCAGGTCTACAGATGTTCCAGGTAAGGTGGGAGACAGTGGCAGGTAGTCAGTGCACCAGCGCACTGGACCATCGCTGTGGAGCCCAGCCTTGAGCTGTGGGTGACAGTTGGCTCAGCAGCTGCTCCTGCCAGCCCAGGGGGGAGGAGCTAGTGAGAGAGCAACTTGACTGTGGACTTGAACACAGGATGCGTTGTGTGTGGCTTAGAGTGCAGTTCCAGCACCCCGATACCCATTTCTACACAAGGCTAATCCCCTGAGCAGGCTGCAAACTCTGGCTCCTCTGCCAGGCTTTGTGTGCACGCCACAGCACACGACAGGCAGCCGTGGAGAGGGGGCCTGCCTGTTCTGAGTCCAGCAGCCTCTGCTCAGTAACACCTCATTGACTCTCTCCAGGGATGCAGGCTCAGGTTCTAAAGCTAGAAATCAGACTTTATGATAACAGGTACAGGGCACTGTGAGACCTGCAGGCCTGGCAGATTGCAGTCCTTCCCAATGCTGGACAGCACTGTCAGGTAAGACCCTTCCATGCCCCCGGCAAGCTTCTGAGGAGCAGGCTTGAGAGCTGTGTGGGGTGAGTTCTCACCTTCCTACCCTGCTGAGAGCCACCGAGCAGGGGAGCTGCTTACTGGAAGCAAGAATGGCCTTCAGAAGCCTGAGGCCGGGCAAGGATGAGATCAGTCCCGAGGCTCGAGAAGGGAGAAGGATTTATTAGACCAGGTCCGGGACAAGGACCGGGGGAGAGGCTGGGCAGAAGAAAAGGCAGGGCTGTGCTCACAGAAACCATCTGGAAGCCCGGGTGCCTGTGCACGCCTAGAAGGGCTGGTGGCTCTGTTCTCACCTAGAATCAGTCTTGTCAAGGAGCCATTTTGGGGTGGGGGGTGGGGTGTCCTGGCTCCCACAGCTTGATTCGTCTGGGTGATTTCATCTTTATTTATAAATGAGACAGAAATCAAAGCAGCATTAATTTAGAACAAAAAAGGTTAAAAAAAAAAAACCAACACAAAAAAACCCTAAACCCACAGATGGGTGGGGCGGGGCGGGGCGGGGAGTTGTGAGCGGGAGACAAGGAGAGCCGCGTCCGTCCGCAGTGGGAGGCGGAGCCCTGGGTCTCGGAGCCCTCCCCTCCTCCCCTCCTCCCTTCCTGCTCTTGCACCGGCGGCCACACAGCGCTGGAGACACCACAGCGACCTCACGACCAGCCCAGGAGCCCCGCCGGTCCCGGGGATCTGCCCCGACTTTCCACCTTCACATTTAACTCTCCTGTCCAAAGTCCTCTGAGAATTTCTTCACTTTCAGGAGGTCGTCCGCGTTCACCGTGGGCCTGGTAGTGGCCAAAGACCGGAGCATGTCTGACTGCAAAGACAAGAGCAGCCACTGAGAGCCGCGTCCGGCAGCCTCGCCGCCCACACTGCTGCGGCGGCAGGGACTTCAGCCCATTTCACAGTGCCACGGCAGCACAGGCGCGGCATCGGGGAAGACTGGGAGAGGCCCGGGCGCTCTGCGCCGCGAGGGGCCACGGCCGTCAGGCCGCCTCCAACCAAAGGCCACCGACACTTCCTTACCAGTTCCTTCCACATCAAACAGCCAAGCCACCGGAAAGACCTCCTCCTCCTCCTCCCGAAGAACACCAAGTGCCACTGCGGTGCCTGTCCCGAGCCCCAGGGTCCTGGCAGGGGCCTCAGCTACCCACAGCCACAAAGGCTGCTCTACCTTGGTGGGCATGGAAGCCCGGGACGGGGCTGGAGACATGGCTCAAATGTTAGTGTGCCTGCCTCGCCAGAATGAGCCCCAAGTTCAGGACTCAGTACTGTCAACAACAGTAGCCCAGGACAGCCTGCCGTGCGCATGCGCGCACTGTGCGCACACTGTGTGCGCTAGCTGTAGCTCTGCTCCAGCAATCAAGTTTTACTCCTGGACCCCAGGCCCCGGGTCCTGAGTTGTGCGTGCTCCGCTCCCAGGTGCTCACTTACCATGCAGACCACAGGCTCTAGGAGCTTGTCGCCAGGGACATCCATCCAGGTCATCTCTATGGCCCCGGGGTCTCCGGGGGAGCACGGGGTCAGGAGGTCGTCAATCATAATGCTAGGGTTGGTTCGGGAAGGGCCAGAGACCTGAAAGTAAGGCGTGGGACAGGCTGGCAGGCGCCCGGTGCTAGGTGCTAGGGGGTGGCGTTTAAAGATGGCTGCGAGGGCGGGTCATGATGGAGTTCTTAGGTCCACAAAGGTGACCTAACTGCCGAGAGGTCAGAGTGGCTGAATGGCTGACCTCAGAGGCTTGCCGACACGCGCCTTCGGCCGGCCTCCAGTTTCTGCCCCAGATGCCTCCCTTCACTAGGGCCTCTAAGTCTCACTACAAGTACAGTTGCAGCAAAAATGCCCTTCCCGCTCAATTCCACACTGGCAAAATGTGTGCCAGCTCCCAAGTTCTCCGTGTGTCCTGCTTGTCAACAATGCAGCCTCCCATCCCCGCGCTTCGTGAACTTCTGGTCTCCCATAACCTGTTCTAGTTCCCTTCCCCCAACCCCCAAGGGTCACTGTCTTCCCAGCCCCCAGGACAGGGCCAGAGCAGGGCCCACAGCAGACGACAGAGCAAGTGGACAAGTCCTGATGGCACTTTGGCGTGAGCGTCTGGCAGGCAAGCGCTGGCGCTCCCTGCCCGGCACCTGCTGTGCGCTGCCGCCCACCCTCCTGTCTGTCTCAGGTGGAGAAGGCCAAGCAGAGGCCGGAGGGAAGCAGGGCAGGGGCCGCCCAGCCCTGAAGCCATGGTGCACACATCCCTGCTCCTGCTCTCTAGAGATGTTTAAGCAGCCAGGGAGGTGGCAGAGAAAGCAGACTCCCATCCTAGCAACTGTGTGCAATCGCTGGCTGCTTGTGTGTGTGTGTGTGTGTGTGTGTGTCCTGGGGTCTGACTCCCATCCTAGCAACTGTGTGCAATCGCTGGCTGTGTGTATGTGTGTCGCTGGCTGCTTGTGTGTGTGTCCTGGGGTCTGACTCCCATCCTAGCAACTGTGTGCAATCGTGTAGCAACTGTGTGCAATCGCTGGCGGGTGTGTGTGTGTGTGTGTGTCTCTCTCCTGGGGTCTGAACCGTGTCCCTCAGCTTTTCTGCTAAAGGCTAGAACTCTACCACCACAGCCACCGCTTCGCTCTGGTTTTTTCTGGTAATTAATTGTACATAAGAGCCTCAAAGACTTCCCTGCCCTGTTTGGCTTCCAGCTGGGGTCCTCAGAGCTCCTCCTCTTGAGGAGCTAGGATTATAGGTGTGAGCAACTGGCGCCTGGCTCTCACCTTCTTGAAATGTGTTGCTGACTGCACTTTCCTGACAGGCTGCATGAGGGAGTCCCGCACGATGATGCTGATGTCTGCCCCGGAGTAGCCTTCTGTCTTCTGGGCCAGCTCGTGGATGTTGGCGTCGGTGAGGTTGTGGGGCGTGCTCCCCAGATGCAGTCGAAACATCTGTGCACGCGCAGCTTCCTCTGGCAAAGGGATGTAAATGCGCTTTTCAAACCTAGAGAGCCATGTACACAGCAGGAAATGAGCAGCTTGGCGCAGGCTCTGCTGGACCTGCAGACCCACGAAGAGCCAGCCACGGGACCAGGCTGTCCCCGGGGGCGGTCACAGACCCAGGAAGAGCCAGCCACGGGGCCAGGCTGTCCCCGGGGGCGGTCACAGACCCAGGAAGAGCCAGCCACGGGGCCAGGCTGTCCCCGGGGGCGGTCACAGGCTCATCGTGGCCAGGGGAAGACTCACCTCCTTCGAATAGCCGAATCCAACACCCAGGGGATGTTTGTGGCACCAAGGACCAGAGTCCCGTCGTTGTTGTTCCCCACCCCTGTGCAGAGAGGAAGCGGGGAGCTCACTGAGGACTCCAGCAAGCCAGACAACCAGCGGCACAGACCTGCATCAATGAACCCGTCCCAGGCCACCGCTGGTAGGGGCCCGAGTAAACCAGGGCCTGGTCTGGCTTTGTGGGAGCGAAGAGACCTACAGTGCTGTCTGCCGGGGAGGGGCAGGGCCTTGGAAAGGGCCTCGAAATCTGCTTAAAGCCCATGAAAGACCAAGGAGGTGGTGCTGAGAGTGGCTGCTTCTCTCGCCAGGCGACAGTGGCTCAGGACAGCTGGCCTGGGCTGGCTTTGGGGGGAGGAAAGCAGGGGGCAGCTGCCACTGGCACGCACCCTGCATCTGGACCAGGAACTCTGTTTTGATCCTTCGGGCGGCCTCGCTCTCATTTTCATTTCGGGAGCCGCACAGGGAATCCACTTCATCGATGAAGATGATGGATGGCTTGTGCTGCCTGGCCAGCTCGAACAGGTTCTTGACTAGCCTGCGAAGTGCCAAAGGGTCAGGACCAGGTGCTCCTGAGTGCCCACCCAGGGTCCCGGCCACCACCACTCCTCTTCACCTAGGGAGGCTGAAAAGCATTTGTGTGTGTGTGTGTGTGTCTTCACCTAGGGAGGCTGAAAAGCGTGTTTGTGTGTGTGTGTGTGTGTGTGCGCGTGCGTGTCTTCACCTAGGGAGGCTGGAAAGTGTGTGTGTGCGTGTGTGTGGAGGGGCAGCGACAAGTCCTCTGGCAGCAATGCAGTGTTAGAGGAAGAGCCTGCTTCAGCATCAGCCTAAATCCTGGGCACCCCACTCACTAGCTAGCTCTGGGCTTAGGGGGAAGCCATTTCTCTCCTCTGAGCCTCAGCTTCATCATCTGCAGAACAGGAGCCAGTGTGGGGGAGAAGCTAGAGTAGAAAGCAGCACCCCTGTGGGATGCGCCTGCTCTGCCAGTGTGGTCAGTTCCCATTGTTCCCTGTCTACTGGGTTTTTTTTGGTCGGTCGTGGGGCCTGAACTCTGGGCCTGGGCGCTGTCCCTCAGTTCTTCAGCTCAAGGCAAGCGCTCTACCACTTGAGCCACAGCCCCACTTCCTGTCTTCTAGTGATTTATTGGAGATAAGAGTCTCATGGACTTTCCTGCCCAGGTTGGCTTTGAACTGTGATTCTCAGATCTCAGCCTCCTGAGTAGCTAGGATTACAGGCGTGAGCCACCAGCGCCTGGCTTGTCTGCTGTTTTAAGAGACAAGGTTCCATTATACAGCTCAGAAGGGCTCAGATTCCATCTCAGCCTTCCTAGTCTAGAGGTGCACTATTACACCTTGATTTCCTTTTTTTTTTTTTGTGCCACTCCTGGGGCTTGAACTCCAGGCCTGGGTGCCGTCACTGAGCTTTTGTGCTCAAAGCTAGCACTCTACCATTGAATTACTTCTGGCTTTTTGAATTGTTAATTGCAGATAAGTCTCAGACTTTCCTGCCCAGGCTAGCTTCAAACCATGGACCTCAGTTCAGCCTCCTGAGCAGGTAGGAAAACAGGAAAACTGCTGTGAGCCACCGATGCCTGGCTCCCTCCCTTTCTTGAAAACTCCCAAATTGGGCTGGGAAGGTGGCTCAGTGGTAGAGCGCTTGCCTTGCATTCATGAGGCCCTGGGTTCGGTTCCTCAGCACCACAGAAAAAAAAAAAAGCCAGAAGTGGCGCTGTGACTCAAGTGGTAGAGCGCTGGCCTTGAGCTGAAGAGCTGAGGGACAGCACCCAGACCCAGAGTTCAGGCCCCATGACCGGACCCAAAAAAAGAAAACTCCCCAATTCCTTTCCAGATTCATCCTCATGTCAGGTCAGTGTCCCCACTAATAAGCTAGCAAGATGAGCAAGATGTCACCCTCCTGGCAACTGGCTGCTCAGCAGCTCCTCAGAAGGAGGGGGACTCCAGGGGGTAGGGCAAGCCGGGCGGGGCCTGGCGGACTTACTTCTCACTCTCCCCCAGCCACTTAGACATCAGGTCTGAGGAGGACACAGAGAAGAAGGTGGAGTTGTTGGCCTCTGTTGCCACAGCTTTGGCCAGGTAGGATTTCCCCGTGCCAGGGGGTCCAAAGAGAAGTATCCCTCGCCAAGGAGTCCGCTTGCCTGCAACAGAGCACAGCGTGAGGGAGGCGCTTCTGGATGGCGGATGGGGGCAGACAGACAGACGCGGGAGGGTTTAGTCACCGCCAGCTCAGTAGGGAAGAGCACATTCTACAGGAGTAGAGGAGTGCTGGGAACTAAATACCTGCCCTGAGCTTACTCCTTGCCAACTGACACCAGCTGGCACTGGATCCTGACTTTACCTCCCCACTCCTATACCCCAGCTCCTTACCCTTACTCAAAAGTGTTTCTGGTGCCAACCACAAGCCAAGGAGTGAAGGCTGGGGACATACTGTGTGCATGGCAGAGCGCTCGCCTAGCGTGCGTGTAAGGCCTGAGTCCTAGGAGCCGCTGGTGGTGGTGGTAGGCCCTGGCCCTCTCCCGGTACAGCATGGGCAGGCCTGGCCTGGCCAGTAAGCACAGGCCGCGGGGCCATCTATGCTGGGGCACTTTGGGAGGGAAGCTCCAGGCCGGCTCCTCAGAAGCACCCCCTTTTAATTGGTGGGTCGTGGGGCTTGAACTCTGGGTTTGGCGCTGTCCCTCGGCTCTTCAGCTCAAGGCTAGCGCTCTACCACTTAAGCCACAGTGCCACTTCCAGTTTTCTAGTGGTTTACTGGAGATAAGAGTCTCATGGACTTTCCTGCCTGGGCTGGCTTTGACTGCGATCCTCAGATCTCAGCCTCTTGAGGAACTAGGATTACAGGTGTGAGCCCCCGGTGCCCGGCTAGAAGCGCAATTCTTTCGTGCCTGGCCTGGCAGCTCTGCGCTCACCTGTGAACAAGTGTGGGAATTTAATTGGTAAAATGACGGCTTCTTTGAGGGCCTCTTTGGCCCCCTCCAGCCCGGCCACATCATTCCACCGTATGTTGGGTTTCTCCATCACCACAGCACCTGTGAGAGGACGGCGCCTGAGC